CCCTCTCCTATGATGCTCTGTTATGCATCTGGTGCCTGATCCAAAACCCACTGGAATTAATGGAAAGACTCCACTGACTTAGCTCTAAATGTGAACCCTAGTCAGTGATGAAGCCAATGACCCTCCCACAGAGGTCACAGTAAAGGCTCATCTGTAGAAAGCATCAGGACACACACTTCTCAGTTTTAAAATTTTTGTGGGGGGAAAAAAAGCCCTATGTTTTTGCCAGAAGAGAGGTGGGTTTTTTTATCCCTTCACAGAAGTCAGGGTAGCCCCTTTGAAAGGTTGAAGTGAACTTGTATGTGTCAACAAAAATGAGATTTATAACTTTGACCCATTCCTGTAACCAAAATTGTCAGTTTTGGTCCAAAACAGTTCACTGAATCTCTAACGAGAAACGTCACCCTGCTTTACTACTGTGGATTATGAGGTTTAGGTTTTTTAAGATGGAATCACCCTCACAAAACCTGAGACCCAGACTCCTCAACTCGCCTCTAAATCAGCCAATGAGAGAGAAAAAAAAATCCAGTCCAGTCAAAAAAACCCAAACCTCCTTCTGTTAATCTTGGCGTCCCAAACCTGTGCTGGTGTTGGGAAGAAAACTACATATTTTGTATAGGAAGTTTCAATCTTAGGCTTTAAAGCAGTGGTTCTCCCAAAGTGTCTATTTAAAACCACCCACACAAGCCTTATTTTTACATTTGATTGCTCCATATTTTCCTGAGTGAGACGTAGTATATCAGAAACCCTTTCAATACACCACTGGCTGGAAGGAAGGCAGCCACATCTGCTGGTACAGTTAGTTAAATCTGAGTTTCCTCATGTGCCCCAAGTCCCTGCTGCTCAACAGAGTGCCAAACCTTTCCAAGTTGCTCTCTTAAAACAATTACTGTAGGGAAAAACAATTGGGAAGGAAGAAAGAAAGGGGGGAAAAAAATAACATCACACAAAGTCAAAGGCTCTATGCCAACCATTAACTCTCTCTCCATTTTGGCTTCATTCTCTTGTTTTTCCTCTCCAAATTGTTATTCCTCTGAGACCGAACATGCTGCAGTGTTTTTCAGAACAGCATTTAATAATCTCTCTCTAGTCTCTGAAGCTGAAGAACTGCATGTCCCTTCCAGGCAAAGCACAATCTTGTCATTCCCTTACCCCCCAAGCGGCTGGAGAAAAGTCACCAGTACTTAGTTAGAACAGGGCTGTTTCAGGTTTTCTCTAGCAGCCCATACGTGACCCTGCACGGCCCCAGACAGACTAAAAACGAGATCCAGATTGCTGCAATCTGGGTCCACCTTTGCCTGCTGTGACTTGAGCCCCTCTCCTCCGCACACACGCATGCACAGAAGGGGACCTGAATCCTGAGTCGCCAAGTGCATGTTGTGGTGCAACCCCACTGATAATTCTCCATCCATCCATCCATCCATCCATCCACCTAGCTGATGTGGCTTCTCCTACGGTTGGGGTTGGCGTTGGGGCTGGGCTCCCCATCCGCTTTGGAGCTGTCCCCGCGCCCAGAGAGCGGCGCCACAGCATTGCAAACCTGCTTCCTTCCAGCTCCTGTCTAGGAATCCCGGCGTGGTGCCAGTATCTCCATTCATACAAGGACTCAGGAATCCTGAGTTTAAGAGTATCGCCTGCCCGTCCCCCTCTGGTGACAGCTCCTCAGCTCAGAGGACAGCAGGACTATGCAACGCCTTAGGGCTGCTGAGGGGGAGCCAGGCTCTTGGCAGAGCCCGCAGCCCCCTCCAGGGGTGCACGGGGTCCCCTACGAGCCCCCAGGTCGCAGGGCAAGCCATGCAGCTGCTCCCCCTTGCCCCGCTCAGGGGCTGGGCAAGGCAGGCGGCGTTGCGCGGGGTCCCCCTAGCGACCGCCCGGGGCAGCTGCAGCCGGGAGGCACCCCGGGCTCTGCAAGCCTGGGCTCTTCCCCCCCCCCGCCTAAGCTACTAGTCGATCCTGTTGCCCGGTGACTTTTTGCAAGCCTCCCCCCTGCCAGCAACTCCCTCTCCGGAGGAGGCAGCCCGGCAAAGCAATGCAGCCCTCCCCCCCGCAACCTGGGTGCAGCCATGCCTGCACAAAGCAAAGACCCCCCCCCCCCATTTGATCTCTGCAGGAGAAGGGATCTTTGCAGGGCTGTTTGCAACCCGCGTCCTTCCGTGCCCTCGGCGCTCACATGCCCCCCAGACACGCCGCCTGGATGGCAGCTTTGCAGGAGCTGCGCTCAGCTCGAGGGAGGAGGCAGCCCTGCTGCCCCCTCCCTGCCCTGGCCCTGCAGGGGTGCTGGGGGCAGGCTGGCAGGGGAGCTGCTCCTTACCTTGGGACTGCCACTGCTCCTTTCAACTTCTTGCGTGCAGCCCTGCAGGAAGGCTGGGTGCCTGGGGCACTCCTCCATGTGCCTGTCTGCTCTTGACATTGCTTCTTTTTTTTCTCTCTCTCTTGTCTCTTGCTTTGCAGACTAATGGGTGTTGGGGTGTGTCAAGTCCCTGCTTCAAGAGGATGAGGGGGTTGGATGGTGATGCTGATGAGTCCCCTTTGCTTGGCTCTTTCTTGTCCAAGAGGCAGGGCTGGTGGGGCTTCGTTCTCCCAGCTGCAGCTCTACTCTCACTTAGCTGCTCCACAACTGAGGAGACAGGCTGAGAGCTCTCACTGCCCCTTCTTATATACATCCAATGGGCATGCTCTACTGTAAAAAACCATCAAGGCAACTCAACCAATAACCTTGCAGAACTTATCTAACCCCTCGTCGTCCCCCCCACCCTTCCTTCCCTCCCTCCCTGCCTCCCTCTAGTGTAGCCCTTCCTAGCCTCACTTGAAGGGAGAAAAAAGTTTTCAATAACATGGTTTCATAGCATGCTTCTCACAGAGAGCTTGTGGCTATTGCTCCATGCAGACAAATTCTCTCCTTGGGTGAAGGGAGAGCGGGGGGGAAGGAAGAGGTTTGCTTTCGTTTCATTTCATGCTGCTTTTTTTTTTTTTAGAGCTAGGTAAAATGAGCAATAAGCCTGTAAGCAGATTTTTTTAACATGGTTTTGATGGTTACTATTTTATAGGGAATC